CATGCTCAGTGTGTGTGACTGAGAGAGATGTGCTTGGGCAGAGAGTGGTGGAGAGATGTCCATATAGAGTGCGTATGTGTGAGACAGCAGAGACACATGCATTAATGTGTGGTCTGTGAGAGAGACAGGGAGAGATACATGTGTGAAGTCTGCATGCATGAGTGATATAAATATGCTTCTGGTCTGCATGCAGTGAGTGTGTGCATGTGCTGTGTGTTCATGAGAGAGTGAGTCTGATGTCGGCTTGTGCATTTCCCCCCGGTAGACATAAACAGTATCTTTGTATGCAGGGAGAGTGGGGTGGATCAATATTGTGATATCTGCAATCAGGACCAGTATGACATAGCTGACTTCCCATGGCAGTCATAAGGTTGTCAAGGTTTGTGTTACAGGAGTGAAGTGGCTGCAGTGACATCAAAATAAATTAACTGATATTAAGGGTGGCAATACTCTATTCAATGCAAGCATGTTATTTTAGACCATGGAGGTAGTGACGGTGGAGAATCAACAGCAATTTTAAGACTTATAGTAAGTAGGCTTCAGATGTCCTGTGCCCAGATAAACTCAAGCTTAAATGGTCAAAAAGCAAGCAGTGTACTCTAAGAGCCTTTGTGGTGGTGAGTTATCTATACCTTATAATGACATTATATAAAAAAAGTAGCAACTAAGTTTGTTATTGGTATGAGCTTTCGTGTGCATGCACGCTTCTTCAGATACATTGCTGTAGTTCTTATCAGAAATGACATTGTTGTAGTTCTTATCAGAAAAGGTCAAATATCCACCACAACCCCACCCACACCCAAAAAAAGAAAGAAAAGGATTTGAGCCTTTGACATGTTTATATCAGAAGCAACCACCCACTCCCTAGAATACCACCACCCACCCCATAAGATGAAAAACAATCACCTCTCCTCCCATATTGCTGCTCCAATCAGACCCCTACCTGCATTTTACTTTTAAAAAAAACCACACATCACTACAAGATTGTCACACACTACTGCATCATACAGCATATCAGCCTGATATAATATAGGCCTTCTCAATCATGATACATTCTCCTCCCCAGATATGGATATACTAATGATAGGTTTTATTTGCATTAGGTTAAGGCTTTAAAAAAAAAAAAAAGTTCACACACTCAGAAAAAATAGGCTTAATTTCATGCCAGAAATGGTATGTTAGAAAAAGGAAGATGGCTTATATATAAGTGCATTAGGTTACTTCTGTTTTCTCTGTTTCCCATGTAATTGTACTTCTTGTTAGGTTCTGTGTTTATTTCCATCAATTTGCATTCCCTTCAAGTCCTAGCAGTCTAACACTGTTGCTTTTAGGAATGCATGAGCATTCATTCAGTGACTTGCTCTGAAAAAGGGGTAGAGCCTTTGCGGAAGACCTGAGAGAGTACTTGCAGGGTATCCTGTGTTCTCGCTACCAGCTTTACTTGCCATGTAGCAGGAGTTTAGATCCTAGCATAAGGCAGGATTAGGGGAATGCAGAAGTGATGGATTCCAGAAATCTTGGGTTCCAGGGGGAAACCTTTCCCTGCCAGCCCCAGAATCCCTATATGAAAGTATGAGCATGTTGTCAAAGACTAGTGATCCCATTATGCAGCGGGAAACGATGCTCCACCAGGTCCTGACTTAGTAGCACCTGACATCACCATTATCCCTGGAAGGTAATTTAGTAGACCTTGGGGCAGAGAAAGATGCAGTAAAAGCAGCAGAGCTTGCAGGATTAAGAGCAGGGCTGTGCTCTCATAATGGTTTTCATCAGCATTTGAACAGTGGCGTTTGGATTTTTGTGTGTCCCCTACTCGAATGTTCATAACAACTGCTGGTTATATGCCTGCATGTTCTTTGCTCCCTGATGACTTCAGGTCTTTTAACAGTTCAAGGGCAGAGCCAGGGGCAGCTGCTGTGCCAGGAAGTTCCATTGCCTGACTGTGCACTTCTTCCTTCCTATGCAGACTGCAGGCTTTTATCCAAGGGAAGAAAGAGAAAACTTTAGTGCATTTTTGTTTTGTTTTGTTTTGTTTGTTTTTAATGATTGTAAAGGCCCTTGGCTGACATATTTAATCTTTACATAGAATTAGTGTTTCTATTATTGTGCATCAAAGTAACATTACTCACGAAGGCTCATTTTTAAATATAGTACTATTATTATTTCAACATCTCTATAGATCATCGTAAACATGAATGGCAATAGCATTCAAACTGCAGGTTACATTAAGAATGTTATTTAACTGCAACCTTTTCAAAACTGGCTACTTTTTGTATTTAGCAAACACATATGGGGGATCCAAGCCAGATTGGGACCTTGGCATTTTCCTGTTGAAAAAAACTTTGCTCTGAAGCTGTTGTTTGGAGGAAATTATATAGAGTAAATGGCATTTGGGAGAAAGAACTGCTGTGCTGCATTTTCAGTCAGGATCAGGACCTTTTCATCTGGTTTTGCTAAAGCAAGCATGCAACCAATTGTAAGCAAATTTTTTAAAGTGTAAAATTTGGTTTAGTTCTCAATTGCCTTGCTTAAGACAAATGTTTATTAGCACCCTTGGATTAACTCAGTGCTTTAGTTTGCTTTAGGTGAAACAGATATTGGTTAAAGAGCAATCTACTCATCACTCTCGATACAGGGAACAGAAAGTAAGAACCAGTGTAACCCTGGAAACCAAAATAAAATAATCCATGAGGCTGTTTTAAAGTGACACGCAGATACTTAATGGGACATGGGAAAGGGCTTAATGTAATTCATATATCTCACTAGATAAGTTAGCCTCCTGCTGGGGGCTTCACAGTTTCCTGCCACTCCAAACATTGTGCAGCACTGGGTTTAGAAACAAAAAGTAATCATATAAAAAAGTTATCGTAAGATGTAAGCATTCATATGTTTGTAAAAGGCACAAACATAGCATTAGTCAATATAAACAGCCCACTGTCAGCCCAGACCAGCCATGACATCTGGAGGCCTCATCTACAGGAGTGGGACTTGGCAGAGACCTCAGGTCATCACTTTTAACTCCACCCCCATCATTCAGCCTGGACACTGAGATCCAGCACCAAGGGCCTTCTAGCAGTTCCCTCATTGCGAGAAGTGAAGTTAAAGGGAACCAGACAGAGGGCCTTCTCAGTAGTGGCGCCCGCCCTGTGGAACGCCCTCCCTTCAAATGTGAAGAAAATAAGTAGCTATCTTATCTTTAAAAGACATCTGAAGGCAGCCCTATTTAGGGAAGTTTTTAATATTTAATGCTGTATTGTTTTTAACACTCAATTGGAAGCCGCCCAGAGTGGCTGGGGAAACTCAGCCAGATGGGCGGGGTATAAGTAATAAATTATTATTATTATTATTATTATTATTATTATTATTATTATACCATCTTTCTATCTTACAATACTCAAGGTGGTTTACAAGCTGAAGAAACAAAGAATGTACTCCTTATAACAATCTAATGCAATATAAAAATGTGATAATAAAACATAACTTTAAAATAAGCAACTTACATCAAAAAAGTAACATTCAAGAATCATTAGAATATTATAGAATAAAAATATCAGCATATAAAAATTAAACAAATTCACTCTTAACAATTACAATAAATAATTTCTAAACTACAGTCAATAACGGCAAGCCACAGTGCATAAAATAATACAATGCTATTGAGAAGCAGAGACTAGGGTCGGAGGGTGGGGCAAGGCAGATGGAAGGAGGCCTTGCCTGATGAAGTCACTCCCCTCACAGTTCTTCCTCCAGGAACAGCTCCTAGGGCCAGAGGGTGGGACAAGGCAGGTGTCTCTGGGGTCTCAGGTGTCTCTGGGATACCCCAATGATCCCACAGCTACAGTCAATCAGCCTTAACTACCTAGTCCCATGACACTTGAATCCCTCAGAGCAGAGGTGGTGGTAGGTTTGGCGAGAAATCTAGAGGTGACAGAGGAGTGCTTGCCTGAAATCCAGTGGACCTCACTACTAGGGGGTTGCTTGGTAGGATTGAGAACCTAGGGAAGGGCCAGGATGCACGAGATGCTATCTGAGAGGGTATAAATCTCTCATTCTCTCCTGGTCCTTCTGCAATAGCCACTATCATAGGCATTTTGTCCTTTGGTTCACCCTGCTGCAAGGTATGGTGAACTTACGATGGAGTTCCACTGGCATATAGCACAGAAATAAATCATGATAAGAACAGTAGGTTTGTAGAAAAGCTCACCCAGATGCTAGGGAAATTGGTGATTGACCTTATTTGACTGGTCAATTGACAACCAGACTAGTTGATTGACCAGCTCAGTGATTCTACATTATTATTTTTTAAGCACTTAATTTGTTCCAAATGGCCAGCAACAGTTCGGGCATTAGAAACACGCAAGATGTTAAAATAATAATTTATGTGGGATGGAATTTTAGTAGGAGATAACACTGTAGTTAGCTTTGTGATCAAAAGCTCCATTTGTCTGATCACTCCATTCACTCCATTCATACCATGAGGAATTTTTTATATATATCTAATACACTGAAAGTGAAAGATTAAAGGTAGCAGCATGCTCTATTATCTTGCTGAGCTATAAAATTAATATGTACTGTATTTAACCTTTTAAATTAAGTCAGTACCTCAGTAGTGATTTTATTTAATGACAAAAACACAGACATAGAAACACTTGTTTTGCTAACATTTTTGCTGGGGGTGGGGGAATCCGATTTTGAATTTGCTGTTTGTGTGCCCACCTCAGGTTTACATGTTGTTGCTGCCATCTCTTGAACTCAGACACCAAAGTGTTCCTTATTTTGTTTCTGCTTGCTGCTTATAGCATGCAGACTATATGGATATGGACTGTATGAGTTTGGCTGAAATGGGATTGATGCTATACTTTGGGTTAAGGAAAGAATGAGCTACTTTGTTCTCATGGACTTTACTGTTTTCCAGAAAGTGGTCCTGACCCAGAAATCATAGTTGGAAGGAACCCTGAGGATCTTCTAGTCCAATCGCCTGCAATGCAGGAATATGCAGCTGTTCCTTATGGGGATCAAACCTGCAACCTTGGTGTTATGAGCATCATGCTCTAACCAGTTGAGCTATTCAGCTGGCTAAACTGGTCCTCTCATGAGGCTCATTTAGTCTGGTTTCAACTCAGAGGAATGGGAGTTAGAATCCCTGTACTACAGTGGTTTCTCTCTTACTTGCAAGGACTCTGTCAGAGAGTACTCAGGGACAGTTGCTTATCCCCATGGCTATTGAGCCATGGGGTCCTTTGGGGGTCTGTTCTCGCTCTTGTGCCATTAAGTAGCCATACGAAACTACTGATAACATAGTTATCAGTATACTGATGACATATAGCTCTATTTCCATTTTGTCTGGATCAGGGAAGCCTGTAAAAGTTTTGGACGGGTGCTTGGAAGCTTGGAAGAGTACTGTATAGGGCTGAATGGAGGCCAATAAACTGAAGCTCAGTCAAGATAATATGAAGCTGCTGTGGGTGAGTGGTTCTTGTGTGCAGGAATTAGGTGAACAATCAGCTCTGGGAGGGGTTGTGTTTCTTCTAAAGAAACAGATTTATAGTCTGTGAATACTCCTGGAGTACTACAGATCCACAAGTAGAGTCCTAAGTGGCCTCTAGGGCTAGGAGTGCTTATGCCCAGCTTAGACTTGCTTGCCATATATTGGCCATTTCTTGACAGGAATAGCCTGGCTTCAATAGTCTATGCTCTGGTTACCTCTTCTCTGGACTACTGCAATGCACTCTACATGGGGCTGCCCTTGAAGATGGTTCAAAAAGCACAGCTTGTATAGAATGCAACTATCTGATTTGTGAGAGGAGAAGCCTGATGGGAAGAGATATGCTGTATCCCTGATTAACCTTGCATTTGGTGGCTGAAATATGTTGTTCCTGGCAATTTAAAAGAATACTTGGTATTTGAACTGTGAGGGCATGTGAGGGGGTTTTTTTAAAAAAAGTTTTTTTTAATTGTTTTTGCTGTTTTGTTGTTTTCCACTTGTGGGCAGTAAGGTTGATTCTTTATTCAAAGAGCCAAAATACAAACAGAGAACTCCATGGGCATGACTAGTTCATTGAAGCAGTTGTCAGAACTGAGGATCTGAGTTGCCCACTTCCTCTTAAGGCTCCTGCCCAGTTGTCTGTCTTCCCAACAGCCTCAAAATCCTTCAAGGAGGGACTCTCTGAGACTTTTGTCCTGCTACATGTAATTCCCGCCTTGTTCTTAGAGACAGGAGAGGAAAACAGTGGAACTGGCAGGTTGCTGTGGATCTGTCAAAGCCTCATCCACTTCACTCTCACTCTAACCTATTGCTTGCTCAGCCTCCAACCCGTCTGCTGCTCCTTTTTCCTCTGACCTGCCTTCTGTATAGCGCAGAGGTTGCTAATGTGATGCTATTGGATAACAGTTCTGATCATCTTGGACCATTGGCTAGGCTAGGGTTACCAGATGTCCCGGGTTCCCGGGGACAGTCCCTGGATTTGCACATCTGTCCGCGGACAAATTCCGTGCCCGGAATGTCCCCTCATTTGCAAATCTGTCCTTGGGAAACGTGGCAGTGGCAGCCTCAGCAGCCCGAAGCCAGTCTGGTAGCGCAGTTGGCTCTGGCTGGCTTCAGGAGCTGCTCACTGCTTGCTGCCGCTGCCACTGCCAAGGAGGAACCAGGGATGTCTGGCGGTACAGATCTCCTGCCCCCTTCCACCTTTGTTTTGACAGATCGGGGGAGGCTGAGGAGTTGCGGCAGGCGGCTGTTGCCCAGGAAGGGTGCAAGGCACACGGTTTTTCTGCCAGGCAAGGTGCAAAGCCCTTCTTTTGCACCCTGTGAAACATAAATGTGCAGAGTTTTTTTAAAAACTGGGCAACGGCCACCTGCCCGCGACTCCCAAGCCTCCCCTGATCAGTCAAAACAAAAGTGGAAGGGGGCAGGAGATTGGGGGAGGCTCGGGAGTCACGAGCGGGTGGCCCGTCGTTGACCAGTTTTTTAAAAACTCTGAGCATTTATGTTTCACAGGGTGCAAAAGAAGGGCTTTGCAACTTGCGTGTGTGCTTGGGCCCAGGGTCTTTTGCCTCATCATCCCCACTACTGACTCCCTGTTGCTACTCAGCTTTAAAAAAGGGGGGGGGATTCATCGAGAAAAATCTGGTAACCATACGCTAGGCAGGCTGGAGCTGATGCCAGTTGCTGATGCCAGTTGCATGAAATGCATCACACTGGCCATCCCTGACTTGAAAAACTCCTTTCTCTTACATCTTTAGGCTTTAATTTGAAACTTATCTCATTGTGGAAGTAAGTATTGCCTTAAAATGATGACTGTGAACTTTGTCGTTTTGCAGAAAATGAATAATGTTTTGGAAGCAATTCTGTTGTACTGCATTTCTCTAGTATAAAAAGTGATGTATTCATTCTACATCTTAAATGACGTAGACATTAATTAGGGTCCAGAACATTTCCCATAAATATCCAACTATTTAGGTGACAGACTTATATGAGTTTAACATCTGGCTAAAGAAGAATTATTCTGGCAATTTATGAAGACCTCCTTTCCCAAGCTGAACTGGTAAACTTCACTGTGTGCTCAGCTTCCAATCTCTCTCACTGGGAACTTTAATAAATCATAATGTTGTACCAGAATACCAGTAAGAAGTTGATCAGTTTTTAAAATTCAAACCCAGTTGTGGATGCTCTGTCTTAACAAAAAAGATTGTAACTGATAAGAGTTCTAATCAAGATTTAGATTAGTTGCTTCTTCAAAACATTTGCTGATGTGTGTAAAAGTTTTGTATATACACTTCTTTTCATTCTAAAGGAAATCTAATAAACGAAAATGTTGAATGTACTCAATTTTATCAAAAGCTAATTGCATATTTGCAACAAGTAAGCTGGCAATGTCATGCAGGCAATGTAAGGCTCATGGGTCATATTTGACTTTACATGGTTACATGTGGTGTTTTTTCCACTTGCGGCTAATGCTGTGGTTGCTAGATGATCTAAATTAACATGTCAGGAAAAAAGGTTTAATGTTTTGCCATCATATCCTGAAAGCAAGCTGTGGGGATCTATCACTCATTCATTAAACCAAGCAGTCATGATGTCTTCAGTAGAAAGTGAAGTGTATTTGGTACTGATGTCATAAAGTCACAAGTAATTTTATAGTCTGGGAGGCATATGAGTTTGCAACTTGCAGATTTTTATTCAGTAAAATAGTTCTACGTTTTAATAACACATCCATCTTTTGGAAGGCTAGAGACTTCAGTTGATGCATGTGAGACAGCCACTATTCACTTTCTCTTCTGTGATGACGATTTGTAAAAGGTTACATAATGGTTTTTAAATGTGTTTATATATTTAGGAGATATATATGGTTTTATGTCAAAAAGCCAGAACCAGAAAGAAAATAGTCATCAACCACTGAGACTCTTCTACAAAAACAGTTATAACAGGAAACTTCTACACCAATTCTCATGCTTCTGCTTGCACAAGCGGATTGTCATCCTTTGATTTAGTTTCACATTTCCTTACACCAATGCAAGATATAGGACAATGAAAAATCATATAATTGTAGAGTTGGAAGGGGCCATGAGGGTCATCTAGTTCAACTCCTTGCCGTGCAGGGATGTTTTGCCCAATATAGGTCTTGAACCCATGACTCTGGGTTTAAGAGTCTCATGCTCTACCAACTTAGCTAACCCACATTTGGAAATAATAATAATAATAATAATAATAATAATAATAATAGCCCACTCATCTGGCTGGGTTCCCCAGCCACTCTGGGTGGCTTCCAACACATACAAAAACATAACAAAACATCAAACATTAAAAACTACCTTCTCCCTGTCACTCAATAGCATTTTCCTATCTTCTCCACACAGAGGACCTACTACTTGCTTGTTCTTCCTCTTGCTTCAAATATAACATAGCCAAAGATGCCTTTTTGTTGTTTTTAAACCTCCCTTGCAAGCTCGAGTTCATTTTTAGCTTTGGACAAACCTTCTAACCTTCTCCCTACAACTGTTGGCTTACTTGTGTATACTCTTCCTTCATAATTTCCCCTGTCTTCTATTTCTTATACATTTCCTTCTTACATCTCAGCTTATCTGTAAGCTTCTTATGCAGCCACATCAGTGTTTTTTTAGATGCCTCCCACTTTTCTTTCTTATTGGTATTATCTTTATTTGTGCCTTCAGTATTTCACCTTTAAGAATCTCCCACCCATCCCTTCTCTTTGAGTATTTCTGACCATGAGTTTTCATCCAGAAGTTCCTCAAGCTTTTTGAAGTCAGCCTTCTTAAATTCCAACAGGCATGTCCGGCTACACTCAGTTTTTCCTTGCCTTTGTGTAATAAAACCCAACAGAACCCAAGTTTCCTTATATTTTTACCTCACTAATTAGTTGCTGTTGGTGAGGACCAGGTACAACAAGAAGAAGCTTGTTGCTTCATCCTCCTTCTGGGACATTAAATTGTCAGTGAGGCAATTGAGGAATTTGTTGGTCCTTACATTCCAATTTGGAAGCAATTTGTTGGTTCATACATGTTTGAGTTCCAACAGATATCTGGGTAATTATGCTTGTGAAACATGGACCACTTGTAAACACCATCTCAAACTCCTTGAAAGATTCCATCAACGGTGTCTCCAAAAAATTTTACACATCACTTGGGAATACAGGCGAACTGATTTCAGTGTACTGGAAGAAGCAAAGATCACCAGTGTTGAAGCAATGATTCTTCAACATCAACTTCATTGGACTGGTTGTGTTGTGCAGATGCCTGATGATCGTCTTCCAAACAGCTATTCCAAACTTAAAAATGGAAAGCGTAATGCTGGTGGTCAACAAAAGAGGTTTAAAGACTGTCTCAAGGCAAATCTTTAAAAATGTAGTATAAACACTGACAACTGGGAAACACTGCCCTGTGAGCACTCCAGTTGGAGAACAGCCTTTACCAAAGGTGTCATGGACTTTGAAGACACTCAAACTCAGGACGCAAGGGAGAAACGTGCTAGGAGGAAGGCACGCTTGGCAAATCCACTCCGTGATCAGCTCCTGCCCGGAAACCAATGTTCCCACTGTGGAAGGACATGTGGATCCAGATTTGGCCTCCACAGTCACTTACGGACTCATTGTTAAAACCATGCTTATGGAAGACAATCTTACCCAGCTACAAGTGATCACCAAAGAAGAAGAAGAAGAAGAAGATGCCTCTCCCTTTTGAATGTTTGGTAATCTGCTGTAGAAAGGCATCATCCTATCATCAGTCTGGCTTGGAAATCTATAGCAGACACCCACAGTAAGGTCACTTTTGCTTCCCCCTCCAACAATTTTTTACACATATACTTTTCATCTGCTTTCCATGCTCCAAGTCACAGATCTCTTCACAAGTCTGCATATCCTTTTTATATAATGCTACTCTCCCTTCCTGTTTGGTCTGTTCCTTTTAAACAGCTAATCACTTCTCTGATCCCTCTATTGATTTTCCATTTCTAAAAGGAATTACCATTGAACTGTCACTAAACATATATGAAACAAGTTAGTTGTGAATAGCTTAAAACCTAAATCAATTAATATTTCCTAGATAGAGGCCCAAGTTTGGGATTTCCCATAATTGGACACTGGTCAGGAGAACATTTTAGAATTTGTTAATTGATGAAGTAAGATCTGTTCTTTCATGGTACATTGCCCTCTGACAGTCCCGATTTCTGTTCCTGGTATTTCCAGGTAGGGCTGTTGGAGACCCCTGCCAGGCCCCTGGAAAACCCCAGTTATTGTGGACAATGCTGAACTAAGATAAGACCAATTGTTTGACTCAGCCTGAGTCAGCTTTCTGTGTTCCTGTCTCTCCTTTCTAAAAGAACTGTTCAGGTTGTGAGGATAAATGTGGTAATAATTGTAAAGTAATTTGTACATTGAAAATACTTTTAGAAACAATAGAATATATACATCCCCAAATAACCCAGCATACTATTAAAATGAAGAAATTCTTTAATAAACATTGCTGAAGTCCCCAAGGCATGTGAATATTATGGGACTACAGCTATTTTGAGTAAACAGAATAGCCTTTCATATAGGTAGGTAATCACAGAGGGTCACCATGGAAACTTATAATGAGCGAGAAGGCTGCAGTTAAGTTGTATGTTTTATTCACACACAACACAATTTGCATAAAATTTGCATGAACCTGTTGTATATGATTCCAGTAGATGTGATTCAGTTCTGGAATGCTTCCCTGTACCTTCAGAATCCAAGCATATGTTTTAAAGATGCTTGTCAGTTAATTTAAAGAGTATCCCCCCCCCAAAGTCTCTGCTTGAGGCCCACAGCCAAAAATAAAATTGTGACAGGGAGGCAAAAGAAGCGTGAAATAATTGCAGAACGTAAATACAAGCATCTAATGTGCTAAAATATTTAATTGTATCAATTATTAATAAATTATTATGTAATTTAAGAGTAAGGGCATAGTGTTTGTCGAAATATTCCAGAACATTTGCACTCACTGACCAGAGCACCAGAAGGTGGGACCAAGTTAACTGCTTAGCAAATTATCTGGTAAAATACTGCCTGCATGCTTTTCTGTATATATCCACAAAGATAAGGACTAGAATCATATTTCATAAAAATGAAGGAAATTTATAGAAGGGGACTAGAAACATAGAATTGTAGAGGTGAAAAGACCACAAAAGTTATCTAGTCCACCCCTGATTTACACCTACCTTATGTACCATTGCTACAGGCTGATGTGGAATGCTTGGAAAACTAATTGAACAAAGCTTCCATGCTGTATCAAGCTGATTGTCTTCTGGTTAGCCTGATAGACACCAGGTTCTGGGCAAATGGTCAACACCAAAGTTTGTCTGGTGAGTGTTAATTCCATAAAACTCTCTGTTGTGCGAAGAAATAGTGCCCTCAACTGTTCACTGTGCTCAATCTACACCTAATGATTGTAAGTTTGGTTAAAAATAGGCAAGCAACCAAATCTACACTTACCATGCATCCAGTTCAAAGTGGTATTCATATTGTAAAAAAACAGGCTATGTTTTGCTACTGTCTATATTTATGTAATATATGCTCTGCAGAAAGGGCACTTGAGCAAATATTTGCCAGCATGAATCAGTTCACTCAGAATGGAAAACATGGTAAAAGAGAGAGTGCTTCAGTATACTGAAAGGAGAGTTCCCACTATTTCAAGCTGATTTTTTTTATAAATAGAGGGTTCAAATGTTTCCATTTAACTAACATAAAGATGAATAAGGTCCTCTCTTTTTTTGCTGCCAGACTATGCATCTAAGCTATTGTCTCATACCATTACAGAGGATTGTAGCTTGATTTTAGGGAGCACATTGCCAAGATCTCATTGATAGAGACAAAAGAAACAACCTGGTTAGCAATATGTCCTCCTGCTGTGGCTGGGAGATATTATCTTTATGCTTACTGATACTATAAAATAGCACCGGCCAGGTGATTTCCTCTTGGACATGCATAATGTCTTTCTATGTCCTTCAGCTACTGAATGGCTAAAACACTTTGAACATCCTTGAAATGATAGTTAGCGGTGTTGTAAGCTCAGTGCATACATAACATTCTGGTATTATTTTTTCAGAAGGATGTGTGTGCATATCTGAAATGAAAAGCAATTTAAGATCCAGTCCAATGCATCCACCAAGGAAGAAGTTCTTGTCCTTGAAATTTGGAAGGGCCACACTACAGGTGATGCTAAATATATATCACTTGGGTGTTGTGTTATTGGATTTTAATTGAAAACAGCAGCCAGGGGAGGTCCCGGCAAGGACTATAGCATGGGGGGAGGTTAAATTCCTATGCTATGGTCTGAAGAAAAATTGTGCCCTGGGGCTGCTATTGGACACAGGAGGGAAGCTCCTATGGCTGTCAATGAAATCTTTTGTATTATGTCAGGTAGCTATTTGTGGGGGGTGGAGAGGGTTGAAAGGATCATACCATGAGAGCAAAAGACCCTGTGCACATAAATGAAAATTACATAAGTGGGGAGCACCCTCTAAAAAGCCTCTAAACACCCATTTTTACCCCTGCTCTCTATTTTTCTCTCCTATTCTCCACACAACTGTCTCTTCGACTAGAGTTGAAGCTCTGGGGCTGGCTAGAAGCTGGAGGATGTTGAAAAATGGTGGCTGTGTTACTGTGCATGCCAGCTGCTAAGCTGGGAGGCTGAGCAGCCTAAACAAAGTCCCATTGCACCTCTGGTCTCTTTGGGGCTTCCTCCAGCCTCACTGAAGTCCTCTTCAGACTCCGGGGAGGTTCTCCTCACAAGCCACGAGGATGCTTCAGTTCTCACCTGCTGTTTCCTTGTATGATTTTATTTATTTCCCAGCACTGTATTGGGTCATGCAATACAGTCTTGAAATTGCCAGTACATTCTTCCCTTTCTAGTTAGACGGTACTCTTCTTAAGTAATGGGAATTCTGGTGATGAATAATATAGGGTGCGCCTGTTGCTCAGTCCCTGCTCCGCCAACCTAGCAGTTCAAAAGCACGTCAAGTGCAAGTAGATAAATAGGTACTGTTTCAGCGGGAAGGTAAACAGCGTTTCCGTGCGCTGCTATGGTTCGCCCGAAACGGATTAGTCCTGCTGGCCACATGACCTGGAAGCTGTCTGCGGACAAATGCCGGCCAGTAAAGTGAGATGAGCGCTGCAACCCCAGAGTCGTCTGCGACTGGACTT